CAACGTGGGCACATCCAATTTACAGATGTCTGGAATGATTTAAATATAATTAAGTATAATTTTCTGCGAAACGAATCAGTAGCATAATAAACGTACGTGAAAGCACGTACAATTAACAGAGTCTGGTTTCCGTTGTTGCAACATTTGCGTTCGAATGCCTGTACTTGTTTATTATTTGTTTTATTTTCTCCTAGTGGTGCTGTACTTGAGAATAAAATAAATTTGCCTTTGCGTAGGGCAACAAAACTTTATCCGCCCCACAGAACTCACGCCTCACCTCCGGCTCCAGTAAGGCTGATCATCGAAAGGGGGACAAAGGCGTCTAGTTTTAACTTTACTGAATGTAGTATCAGTTTATAAATATATGACTAAGCTTAAACCACCTGTTCTGAATATTATCTCAAAGCAAACTCAGTTGGAACATCACCCTTTTCCAACATTGCTGACTGTTATAGCTCTTGTTGTACTTTCCTGATGAGAGTTTATTTTATTTCTTCATTTCAGGCAGCAACGAGAAGTAGAAGATTTGAAGATGAGGCATCGACAGGAAATCAATTCATACATTTTCTCCCATTTCTCGAAGGTCCGATTTAAGCCATATAATTTAACAGTGTTTGGTTGCTACGGTAATTTATTTTGCAGGTTATGCGTGTGAATAAGGTAAATGGTCGGCGGTTGCCACGTGTACATAAACTGGAATCACGGTCAAAATCAGAGGACTTAACGTTTTCTTGTGATTTGAGCACAAAGCAAAGAGACCAGGTGAACGGCAGCTGTGATGAAGTTCTTAAAGCGGGTACGGTTGTCGGCGACTCCGCTGACAATATTCAGGAAGCTAAGATGTGCTTGGACCGACTGTTAGACAGTGTGACGTCAGCAACGAAGCGTTGTTTATCTTTTGGGGGTCGTTCGAGACCGCCCTGTTGGTCCGGCAATTGTCGTCACATGTCAGTCGGCAACTGTGTTCGTCGCGACAGACGGGGACGGGAACAGGCATTAAATACCGGGCGTAAGATCAAACGCAAACTCAGCTATCCACTGTGCGACTCAGTTGGAAGCGGTGGCGGCTGCGGTACCGGAAACGCCCCCTTCGTCAAGCTCAGAGCGGACTACTTGTTCCATAATCGTCGAAAGTTGTGTGACTCGTTCAAGCGCATTCTGCCGTCGAGATACTCGTGAACGCAAATGCCATCACACGTACCAATTGCCCTTCAGTCACCACTCACCGGTGGTACTCGAATCGACCGTCTCCTTTGCGGGTTGTTCGCATGCCATTGTTTTGTTTGCAACTTTCAGCGTAAATCTGTTCGAACCAACTTTTCTCTTATTTGCACGTTCTAAGTATTCAAGTAGCGTTCTACCCAGATCTAGTTTGTTTTGGCAGCGGCAACGTTAACATCGCGCTGCCGTGTATTCCGGTGGCCATTGTGTTTGTCGTACTGTCAGCTGCATTGCTGTTTTGCACTATAGATATTAACCTGATTCGTTTCCTTCTGCACATCAGCCGCGCCGTGTACTACTGCTTTCTGTGGTGGTTTTTTTTTTGGGAACTTCATTGGCTTGGTTTTTCTTCACCTATGCTTAGTCGCGTTTAAATTTTGAACTTTTCCGCCGGGTTTGACATCATTATCCTAGTCTTTGACCGTCTTAACGGTCCGGCTACGATGCGATGTGCACTTTCGACTGTTTCCTTCGTGTTGCTTTCATTTTTTGTCATTCTACACAACTTTTCGCCTCATATTAGCACCAATTCGTCCGCGATCGCCACTGCTACGTGCAACGATGGACCGTAAATTAAACACGATGTCTTTCTTTGACTCAATTTTCCGTGTTTATCGCTTTTTCGTCTTTTAGTTTTTTTATCGCAACCACTGTACGATACGATTTGATGATGATGATGATGATCAGTTTTGTATGAGTCGATTTTAACTTGTTTTTCGTGTTTTGTGCGTTTACATATTTTTTCTTTGCACTTTTGCATTGAAGTTTTCTCTAACTGCAATTTTCGCGCCATCGTATTTTGGTTGATTTTTTTCTCATGCTGTCTCTCAAAAACAACGTGACCATGTCTATTTTTGGGTCGAGTTTCAACTTTATTTTTTGTGTTTGATTTGGTCAGTGTAGCTGTAGTCAGTATGTGAAATCGTTTTGCGCGCATCTGGTAAATTAGTGTCGCCGTCAGCTGCTCATACATGACGATTGCTGCTCGTGCGAACCGCCTGCCAGAGTGGTGGTGGGGTACTTTTATTGATTCGATTTCAAAAGGCATGTGGCAGTTTTGTTACACATTGCATCTATTCTCTGAATTGATGACCAGTACTCAAGGGTTAGACAGTGGAAGGCGGAGAAGATCCCAATGATTACTTTGCAACGGTTAAAATGCTGGAGTGAGTGCAATATTATTTGAGTCGCTTCGATTTCAGAATCTGAGAAATCGGCATGCCGTATCGTGCTTTAGCGTATATTTTCGTCATTTTGTCCAGTAAATGACCACCCGTTTTGGGTAGAC